TAAGCACACGAAGTGGATGAAAGACACTGTTGAAAAAAAGAAGAGGAGTTTTCGGACTATTCATAACATTTGTTTATCTTTCGAATAAGATTCACATTCGAAAAATAAATAAAATCTTAGCACTGACGCAACAAGGTAGAGCAAAATCGCACATGCATCATCTTACCACAATTATTGGTCGAACTTGATGTCTTAAGGTTCACCCCGCCTTCAGAATTTAATTACTGTACTTGAAAAATTTTCAGAACTAACACCTGACTATGACATACAGAAATGAGTGATATAAATTTTTTCCGACTTCTTGTATTAATCAGCAATATTGCTCTGTACTAATTGAACACTGTGAATCACCTTCCTCACAATTCAGTCAATTACTGTATATAGTTCCATCGATTTCAAAAAAACCTGGATATGATATGCGGAACAGAGAGTGACTTCTTTTCGCAGGCCAGCAGACCTGTTTTAATTGAACCAATCGTTCATGTGAAAAATGATTTCAAGAAAAAAAAAATTTTCGAATGATGGTCATGGTTCAATGTCGGCATACAATGCAGTACAACGATCAACCGACAATAACTGACAAATATACACATCAAATGTAGTCCCGATGTGCACTAGTTTACAAAACTTCCATACATCAATGATTATTATGAAATATTTTGTTCAACAAGGCCCTGTTCAACTTGTCCTTTACATCCTTCAACAGCATGTAGCTTTTCATTTTTCAAATATCCGATCATCTTCGCCATGATGAAGTGTCTTGATGAACCATTTATTTTCGTACTCGATTCAACATTTTAAAAATCAGATGAACATAGTACTGTAAAATGATGATTCTTCGAAAGCCGTCTCTGCGAAGTCTTGAATTAACAGATCATAAGAATAATAAGAATGTGCAAGAAATAAATATACATTACAATGGCGAGATTTTGAGATTTCACTTGTTTGATTTATGTACCGTACATAGATGGCCCATATGCATAAATCACCATCGGATCATTGAATTGCTGTGCATCGAAAAAATCTTCAACTAAACTTCCTCATTTCTGGGATAATTTAACCCAGATTCTCGGATTTTAACACATCAGAGGATTCAGAGTAGAGAAAATTCAATTCCCCTTCTCACAGTGATATCGGCTGTCAAAAGTCGTCTTCGGAAGGGTTCCACGAAAACCCTTCCCGAACCCTGACCGAACACTATATGGTTCAATTCAAAGAAGAAAGAAGAAGACAATTGTAGCTGATTTACCGTTCCAACCATGCACGGGCTCTCGGTTAATGCCCCGCAACAGCCAAAGAATGAAACCCCCATCACCAGGAGTCCGCATACGAACAGCACCCAGATCCCGTCCCAGTAATGCTCCATCTTCATCTCTTCCACCCATTCTCTAAAATCGTCTTGAAACCGTATCCAAACTGCCAATGAAAACATGGCTGCACCCATCAACTGAAAACAAACAAAAAAACCAGTCTCGAAACATATTCCGAAAACTTTTTTCTCAATCCTCCTGCTGAGCATTTTCAAGTCACATCAGTTATTTTTTTGCTCTTATAATGCGAACAAAAACCGAAAAAGATATTAAAATTCACGATTGATATTCAAAGGGGAAAGTATAACCGAATCACTCACCCAAGAGACCACGTTGAAGAAAAATATGAAATATTTCAGACATATTATCTGATTTTCCAGCCCCCCTTTTCCTTTTCCTATGGCCATGACGTAACGTTCGCGGAATAATAACCAGAACACCAACGTATGCGTTATTGAACTCGATCACACTTATTGTCGCCTCGAGGACCCACGCAGACTATCTGACGAGAAAATGGGACTACTGTACACAAAATATGAAGATATTCAAATCATGTTCTAGCCCGGAAAATCGACTGAAATTCCAGGTCACACCGCAAAGACAAATCAGCAAAAAATACCCCAACAAACGTTTTTCCTGGCTCGCGAAGATGATTCAACGTGGGATTCATACGCACTTCGTGGAAAGGCGAGATAAAAACGTTATCTTCTCGAGAAGATACACGAGTGTGTTGCATGCTGTATTTGCCCTTTTGTGCTCGCTCTTGGAAACGGTGACATTATCATATCTTATCCGTTCTGGTGCATTATAGGAACATACAGCGAACTGTATGAGTCGCGATTGGAGTGTGTGGAATACTAGGTATTCCCAAAGTGGAAGGAATCTTATCTCCTTGCCGCTGTTCCCATGGATATATTTTGTACAAAGGTAAAAGCAATCTACCGTATGTAAAAAACATTTGAGCGACACCTATTGATTTTGATGAGAGGCGTCGATTGCTGTCGCCCAATTCGGATTTACCGCAGTTGATTCAAAGTTGTTGCCAACACCCCCAATGCAGTTTTGGACCCTTGGTTGAAAAAACTCCTCAGATAAAATATACTGTATTTGGTCAAAAAACTGTTTTCCTTGAAGAAAAGTCCCTCAGTTAACAAACCAAAATGTATTCACCAAACTTTTTTCTACAGCAAAAATTTCAAATTTGGTTATATATACATTTGAAACTCTCCAAGTCAAATACCTCCTTAAGTTACATTTTTTAAAGTCCATGTCTGTATTCCCTTAGCCAGGATGCAGTAAAAGCCTCCAAAAGTCAAACTTTCTGGGGACTTTTTTGCGATTACTTTCTTGACACAGGAAGAAAAAAGCAATACAAATGGAATTTTGTGTGTTTTGAAAGAATACGACAGACTAAATTGGGCCATTGAACTCCTACCTCAAAGTTCAGCATAATTTCAAATCGTTTTCGGAGCAATTGCAGGCCAAGAATATCACCATTTACAGTTTAGTGCAATTCTTCTATGTTTCCCACAACAAAAATGCTTGGTTCCATAACTCAAACATCTACAACTCAAAACCTTCTTATCTTTTGTGCTGGTCCCTCAAAATTTGATTTACAGAGGTTCAACTGTGCATAACACTAAACGGTATGGTTCCGTCTAATTATACACTTCCAATGGAAAAAATAAGCAAAAACATTGTTTTGGAGACCAAAGGCTCAAACAAAATTTTAAAAGTTTGTTTACCATCATGTGAAAGTGCACAAAATCAAGACATAAATGCTTGAATGTAAGGACATCATTCCTCCTGATTGGCTGCCTTGGGAATTATTCATTGAAAATAGCGGAAAAAATATTGAATCATTCCAATCGTCATTATAAAAAAGTAGTTTCAGAGATGAATCATCCAAACTTTTCCAAAACTATGCTACTTTTTGAAAAATATTCTGCCACATAATGAATAATGATACAAATCAGAAGAACACGGGATTCAGGCAGTCATTCTTCGATCTTCTGAGTTCACATCCGAAAAAAAAATCAGGTGGAAAGAATTCAGATTGAAACAACGTTTTCTCGTTTCCCTGTGTGTTTCTTATTCGCGGAGATTATCTCAAAAATTTATTGCAGCATCAAAAGTGCTGGTGTAAATATTTAATTTCCGCTTGATCCATTTAAAACACCTCGTTCATCGTTGTAAAATATTCTCGAAAATTAACCACCGTCAAATCAACTTTTCGAAAGTATTTTGACTCGTTTCCACAAAATCCTTGGGCTAGGTTTCCAGGTCCTAGGTCAGCAGCTTTTCACGTAATCACGTGAAAGTATACTCCAGCAGAATATCACCACTTTTCCATCAGAATAAATTGAATGCAAGATTTTTTCGCTCACTTTTTTAATTTGTATCCAAAAATCACACACGCCGCCGCAATTGTCTGTCACTCCTCGTCACGCAGATATCGTCGGACAGAAACACACATTTACGCAAGATTGGAAGCCATTAAAACGGAATCGCAAAACACTTTTTTTTCCTCTTCGAAACGAAAAAAGAAGAATCTTTCGTGGCAGAGAAATTATCCATCGCCCAAATTCCACATCATACAAAAATACTTTTTTTGAATCTGGGTCAAAAGAAATCAACAACTTTCTTCGTTTTTAAGGTCAGCCTAACAAACAACTCCAACGACCAAATTTCTTCTTTTTTCTCTCTCTCAAATTGTGTTTTTTTAATCATCAAAGTGTATATAGTCATTACCATAGGAATGGTTTGAGCATTCGATTCATGCAAAGACGGCGTTCTCGTGAGCACGTAACTGGGAGTCAATTACGAGTACAGTACAGTACATGGTATGATTGGTACACTAAGTTGCAAAATGCCTCTTTCTGGCCTCGTCACGCCGTTTTCAAGCTACTTTCTCTATTTTTTTTACAGACGAGGGAAAAAATGTCATCACTTTTTTCTCCTCTTTCGACCCCGGGGCCAGTTTTCAGCAAGAGGCACAGGAAGAAATTAACAAAAAATCCGCAGAAAGTGGAAAAAAAAAAACGACGCGTCGAAAAATCTAAGTCTAAAAATAAAGCTACGAATCCAAGGCGGGACCTTAATTCATTGGCTCGATGGCTTGCCCTCGATCATAATTTTGTTTCCTAATCCGCTGATTAACCTAACAAACAACACAAGACACGATTTTGAACGAATTTCCGAAGATTTTTTTTTTTTCAGGGCGCGTTTTCGCCGCCTCAATTTTCTTTTCTTTTGGCGGGTGGGAAACGGCGATGTTTTTGCGCGAGGATTGAACCGAAATCTCTCTTCTTTCTTTCTTTCTCTTTACGACAACATCCGGTAGCTGATTGATTGTTTCAATGAGGAGGAATCAATCAACTTATTGGTTCGTGATTTTTGTTGGTTTTCAGCCGAAGTAGCCCGGGAATGGGAGGTATGGCAGCGCAGGCGGGGCGGGCATCGTGGACGTGGTGTAAGTGGTGATGACGGTGTCGTAGACCCGCGTCGACGTGATGGTCGTGAAGATGGGCTTGGCTTGCAAGGTGATCTTGTAGACCTTCGTCGACGTGGACGTCAGGCGTGTCGACAGGGTCACTGGAGTGCTCACTGTCGCTGCGAACGGCGCGATCGGCGGCTGGAATGGCGCCGCAAACGGAGCCTGGAAAAGACGAAGAAACAATTCCGTAAGATGGTAATTCAACCTTTGTCCTGACCCAGAAAATTGTTTATAAATTTCTGCTTTGAAAATACGGAAAATATTTGGAAGTCAGAAAGTTTAGCTTGCAAAACTTCAGAGAACACCCGTTATTTAGAAAACTGTGGGCAGGATCGCGGATTTCTTGAGATTTCTTTGCTTCGCACAAAATTATTTGCCGATCAGAAAACACGGCGTATTTTTCTGGCGTTATCCGTGGTTTAAATATAAAAACACAAAAAGTTGGATTCCAGCTACTTGCAAACCAGCAATTCAGACATTTTTTTAAAATTTGTCTATAGGGATCAGTTCTCTTCTATCGCCAACTTTAATAGAAACCGCAAAAGTTTTCCTTCAGCATAAAAAAAAGAACTTGACGACTTGGTTTTTTGCATTACTTTGGGAGAGGTTATTAGGTCAGATTCAGTTTTTGGATGTTTTCGTAAAATTGGTGATTCAGGTGACAGTATTGGCACCTACGCGATATTCCAGAAAAGCAGCTTCTTGAGCGTAAAATCAACAGATTGTCTTCGATTTAATCGAAATACTGTACGCGTATGACTGAAGACAAATTACCTCGGCTACGATTTTTCACTTTTCAGAATAGATTATAGATACAATATCGATAATTCAAAAGATGTGAAGTATAAGTCATTGGAAATTGCTCGCCAGTATCTTCTTATGCCATGACCTTCTACAGTTTTCCTTTTTTTTTTTTTTAGATGACCCAGCGAAAATCCAAGTCTGCTTCGGTAAAACTCTCCTCAAGGTTCATAAGCACTCGCATTGAGGTAACAGTGAATAAAATTTAAATCTACCTTTCTGAATGATGAAAATTTTACGAAAATGTACATTTTTACGTACTCCTCAGTCTCACATTTCATCACATGACTAACTACATTCTCGAAAGCCGCGGCACAATTCGGTGGGCTGGAAATTAGAGGAGAAAATTCATCAAGCATGCTTATTTGAATTTAATTATGAAAGTAAAGTAATATGCTGAAGGGGAGTCTCTTGTTCGAAATCCCGCAACATTTTGTAGAGAAGATCAAATGGGCTCCTTTAAAATCTCCACGAACTCAATCCATCCACATGGTACATTCAAACCTTGATACGCCGCAAAATTTCTTTGGGAGGTTTTTGGCAAATTAAAGGGGTTGGCAGTTTAAGCAGGTCGGGGGTTTATCAAAAATATCAAAACATTTTTGTGATTTATGTGAAAATCAACAATAACATCGGAACATTCGTATTCTGCTACAAAACCATAAAACTAACCCTAGGATACAAAAGTTATACCTGGCATATTTTCAAGGATTAAGTTACCTCATCTGATCATCTCTATATGTTTGAATGTTTTATTTATTCAAGTGGATATCTCTCACATAAATAAATTTGATCATATTTCGATAGGGCGTCATCAAAGACAAAATAAATTCGCAGAGGCCTATTTGAGTTTTCAATGATTTTGGCGGTTCGCGTTTCAGTCGAGTTTCCAATGTTGTTATTAAACTCAGGAAAGATCTGTTTTTCCAAATAGCTTGGCAGTCTTGCTGTGGTTGGTATCTGACCAAGAGGAATACAGTACAGTAGTTTAGCAGCAGTTTAAGAAGGACGCACCTGTGGTACCTCAGTGGTAACATATTCATAGTCCGTTCGCACCGTGGTGCCAATCGGATGCGTGATGGTACTGTAATGCGTGTTCACGCCGTCCCAAATGGGCAAAACGTCCGTCTTGTACAAAGTCTCAGTCTTCACCACTGGCACAGAGTTGGTGATGACTCTGTTCCCACCATTCCCGGCTCCTCCGCCGATATTCAAATACGGATTCAAAAACTTGAGATACGCCAACTGTTGCAAATGACTCGGGTCTTCAGCAGCAGAACCTGCACCAAGAGCAGCAGTGCTTCTTTCCCCAGACGCCAAACTGCTGGGCGATGGGGAAATTCTGTTCTTGCTGAACGATAAATACTCGGGATGAAGTTTCTTCTCCATGTCATTGGGATTGAACTTGGCCCCGGCGAGAACCAAGTCCTGGTCGTCGAAAAAGTCCGGGGGAAGAGCGACTTGAACCCCATTACCCTCGGAACCCGACAAGGCCAAGTGATCGTCGTTGTAATGCTCCAGGTCGTCATGCGGGTGCGACATCTTGTAAGCGTCCATGGGCGGCATCGTTTTGAGCGCAGTCACGACCCGCGTGATGTAGTAGGACTGCGTGAGCGTGTGATAAGAGGTGCCATCTGCCTTCACAACCGGCAACACCGTTGTCTTCAACATGAGCTCGCTGGTTGAGAAGCTCTCGATCCTCGTTTCCAACAAGGGCATGAGTAAGTCCCCGGCGAGTCCGATAGGTGGCAGCGTCATGATCTCGTCATCCAGGATAAGATTCTCGTGATACGCGGGTCGTGTGCTTTGGATGAGTTCCTCGCTGTCGGGTGACGAAGGGTCGATGTCGGGAGCATTGGTGTCGCGTCTGTCGATGAAGCGTTCGATGGTGGAAGTGAGCATTATGTAGCGCGTCGTTTTGGCTTGTCCGACGTGGTACACGTAGGGGGACTTGATGGTGGCGATTTCGTAGTAAGTGTTCTCGAATGGCTCCGGAGTGCTCATTTCCACGTTGAGGGTCTCTAGTTCAGGGATTGAGGCCTCGAGGGTCTGCAGGTCTTCTTCGTTGTCGTTGTAGTAGTCGGGGTTTGCTATCGTGTGGTCTTCCGGGCTCTGCTGGTCGCCTTGGTCTTCTTCACTCGGGTTTGGCGAAGATGCCTGAAAATAAATTTAATAAAAATGAACGTGATTGAAATTAAAATCGACCTAGTCTTTGGCATGATAGAGCTTAACCTTGATTTCCTACATTATTAAGAGATTTTTGTCTCATCAATTGATCTTTTTTTTTTAATTAACGCGGCGAGTGAGGATAACAAATTCTGTAAAAAAGTTGACGGACCTGGACACTGGATTTGATGACGATCTTGGGCTTGGCAGCCGCTTGCCAGCGCCAACGGCCCGAGGGCCTGTTCAACTTGAATCTGTAAATCGAACTGCTCGACGTTGGCTGAATCTTGACAGTTTTTGCAGCATGATTGTTGCCTCCTACTTTGTGTGGCCGAGAGTTGAATGGTCTGGGTGCAGTTCTGATCACGGGGCTCTCATCGACTTCTTCACTCGGACGAGCAACGGGTCCGATCTTCTTCCTGTACCGGGTTTGCCGACGACGAGCAACATTGGCTCCACCTTCTCGATTGTTGTCGAAGTCGTTGGAGTAACGAGCGGGTTCTGCGTATAAAACGGTGGCAGTGTTGTCTGAGTGATGGTGGCCTTGGTTGTGGCGCCCTGATGGTGGTGGTGGTGGTGCTGCTGGTCCTTGCTGTGACCCGCGTTTGCTGGGATTGAAGGCGCGGCGCTCGGGTTTCGGCGCAGTGGGTTCTGGAAATGCCAAAAAGGATCCCACCGTCATTCATTTTCGGAAATCGGTTAACCCAAAGTCATCTAGTGATCCGCTTTTTTTTTTCTCGCGTTAAACTGACGACTTCAAGGCATTTACTCGAATTTTCGATGACGTGCTTTTCGTCTCAAAACTACTCAAGAAGTTATTCCAGGGTGCGCTTGTAGTTTTCGATGGCGTCATAGATTCGCAATAAAAGGAACTTGTGGAGTGCCTAAATTATACCAAGCTAAGGTTCACATGCAGTAAATTATGTCATTTTTGTATTTGGGTTTCTTTCACAGATTGGAGACCTCTCATGGAAACTTGAATCTTGCTGACAGGATATTGAAGACGAAATTGACGGGTAAGGAGCATACTTCGGGTAATTTCCAGTATTATAATTTCGGCTGGGATACCGAAATTGCGTTTATTTAACTAGGTTTCCAAAACTATTATAATTTGAGAAGATTTGTTTCAAATTGAAAAATTGGCGGTTTGCTGAGGGAAGCAACACGACATTGTTTGACCACCTTGCTTTTCAAATAGGATAAACAAAATCCAGCATTTCATACTGATAGAAATGAGCTTAAGAAAGATTTACAAGTACTGTATTGGAATTCAATGAAGAGACCCTTTCTCAAGTCTTAAAGGATCAAGATAAACTGTTGGCCTCATATGATTTCTCATCAAAGATTCTCTCTAAATTGTTCATTCAACTATACCTCATACAGAAACTAATATCCTCTCTAAATTGTTCATTCAACTAAACCTCATACAGAAACAAGCTGAAGACCTTGCGCTTGAAATTAATTGTTATTGATATTTTGTCAGGGAAGGAATGGGTGCATGCATACATGTCAGATGTCCAGTTTTATTCTGTGGATTGTATTTTCCATTATTTTTGTTATCCATTTGTGCTCTGTTTCCTGCTCTGAAGTGATTAAATGTCTTTGCGTTGATTTGGGTTGGGTGATGGGGAGGGGGTTTGGATGTGCAAATCTTGATTGAACCTTGTGAATGCTGAAAAGCAGCAAATAAAGTGTTGTGTTCCTCATCATAAACAAATTTGTGAGTGAGCTAAATTATCCCTTATTGTTTTAATCGCCACCAAGCTTGTGTCAAGCATGTCTTCATAGAAGACCGACCTGCAGTGAGGCGTTCGAACTTCTGTTTGTTCTTTCTCAAGCGAGTCAAAAGATCTTCCTGAGCATTGAGTCTCTTCTCGTTACCCTGTTGTCCTCTTCTTTGTTGCTGCTGCTGCTGTTCCGGTTTATTATTCACGGCCGCAGGTTCGTACAAGGGCGTCGACACGATCTTCGGCCTCTTCGACTTGCTGACGAATAACTCGTCATTGTTGGGCTCCACCTCGAAGTCCTCGTAGTCGACCATCAACTGCGGCGCCCTGGACCGGAAATTGTACACTTCCGGGTCCACAGTGCCCTCCAAGACCGGAGCAATGACGGTTGTCGACCCGCCAGTGATGACCGAGTGAACAGTCTTGACTTCGTCCACCACGGCTTCCCCGAGGCCCGGGTTCGGTGCGGAAAAGTACTCGTCGTTGTCGACGAAGATGTGGGACGTGGACTGGAGTACTTGGGCGTAGACGCCGTCCATGACGGTGCCGACGACCTTGGTTTCGTGGACAGTGGTGGTGCCGGTCATGACGGTGGTGCCGCCGAGGGTGGTGAGCACCCCGAGGGACGTGGCGTCGATGGAGGGTTGCAGGGACACGGCAGCTTTGGGTTTCTTTTCGGGGATCGGGGGAATGATGGAGACGTCGGGTTTGCGCCGGGATTGCTTCCCGTCATTCACTTCCACTCGTACGTCGACTTTTGACTGGACATCCACTTTGGGTTTGCTCGGGGTCACGAGGCGTTCCTCTGACCTGGAATTTTACGAGGGTTCGAATTAGAACAGCAAGGAACAAAATGTCAGTTTCGCGAGGAACCAGAAGTCTAAATTTTTTTTTAAAAAGAAACGCATGTGTATCAAAATACAGCAGTGGACATACGAAAGATGCACAAACGGGAAAATCAATTGAGCATGATAGAAAAATTTTGTAAATCGTATTACTTATGTAGTATCAATTAGGCAGCATTGATAATGGAATCAAAAATGTTCAATTACTGAATTCACCCCATGAAAACATTTCAAGACAAAATGGGGTACGTTTAATTCCTGCTGGGTTAAAATAATAGTCTGCAAAATTTGGAATTTTGGCACGCGTCCTATCTGATACACGAAAGTACTGTACATTGCAAACTATTTCAGAAAGTGGGCGAAAATATTTGAATTTCTGCTAAACATTAGGTGCATTATTCAAGTATTTTATATTTAATTCAAAAGCATGCATGGTTTCGAAGGACCGTACTGTAATTTGAATAAGCTTCTCTCCCAAGTTTCTGAAACATCTTTCAACGGCAACTTTCATAAATTACGATTGCATCCAGTTTCTGACAGCTACGGATAGTGAGAAAATATGGATAGTTAATACAAATATTTATTTATTTTAGTCTGTAATCATATTTATATCAATATAAATTTCAAAATACTGCAAGAAAATTGTTGGTGATGAAAAATTCCGGTGCTTGTCTTATTCAAGGAAACTTATTTTCAAATCTTCTTCAAAAACATTTAGGTGCACATTTTCTTGAGGCTGTAAATTTCTTAAATTTTTTATTAAATGGGCGTGTGGTAATTCCTTTGTAAGAATAGGTCAATAACTAGAAAACAAAAATATTTTTTTCTGGAAAGGCTTTATTCTTGTATTCATGAATGTGGAAAGATGAAAGTGCAAAGCTTGGATTAGGTGATATTATATATATTTTTTCAAAAGTATGGTATATCAACTAATAACATATCACGTCTTAAAATTACCTAGCTTCAATGCAAATAATACTCCAGAAAGTAATTCGTGCAGCAGTAAAGGCAAAGTGCAGTAATTCAGCGTAAGGAAGGTAATTATTACTCGAGATATTTAATTCGTTTGTCATTGACATACCTGTAAAGATAAAATAACAGCGTTCTTCTCCGCATTTACTGTTACTTTCCTTTTCAAGACACGTAACGGTCTCTTACTCTCAATTTAGATATACCTTCTGGCATATTTGATATTTCAAAAAAAGAAACGTGAAATGCTTGAGCTGAGACGTATTTCGTCGACACACGTATCTACTAGCTCATTATAAAGCCAGGTCGTTATTCTGGCGGTTTCATCGACTTTAAAAAAGCAAATCATGCTTTTGTAATTGAAAAACGGTTCTTGGCGGTGTTCTATTGCGGAAACTTTCGATCTTGTCGAATTATTTTATTTTAAGTCGAAGGACTTCCTTAAAACTCACGAGAAGTCCGACGTATATTTAGAATATTTTTCTTGATATCCGTCGTTTTGCATAGATTAATAAGTTTGGATCACGCTTTTCTTTTAAAAAATTTTCATCAATACAAATAACCGGATAAATTCACCCGTAATGTCCTATACCGCAAAATTTTAAGGAGCAGTTTTGTTAACACATGGTCGTCATATTTTTTAATGTTCTGGGAATAAAATTATTGATATAATTCAGTCGTCAAACTGATGAGCTGCAATTTATTCAAATTCATAAAAGTATTTCGCTTCATTTTAAAAATGAAAAATCTTTTTGAACGAAGAAGTTTGCGAAGGAGGGATTTGAAAAATGAATAATTTTTGCGACCCTGGATTGAAAAAATCGAACTGTAAACAAAAATATATGTGAATGTCATTGAAAAGACTTGGAAAGTTTGAAATATTTAAAAAAATTGGATTTTGAGTCGTGTTAAAGTTCATGCAATTCATCGAATGGCTATCAATTTAAATGCAAAGTTCAAGATCGTGAACCGAAGTCAGATGAAGCAATTTTTTTTTCGTTTCGGCGTCTTGTATCGTACATGAATAATAAGTGACGTGAGTACGTCTCATGGTATTATATTGTTCACATCAGAACGTACCTGAAGCTATTTTCAATGCTGAGCTTCGGTTCTGAATAGTAGAAGTCATAATGATGCGACACGAGTCCATTGTGAACCGGGGTCAGCACCGAGTCCTCGGCCAGGGTTTCCAACTCAAACAGGCTGGAAGCGAAAGCAGGCTTGGATTTCGAGGGACTCACAGAAACCTCAGCGGGTTTCGGTGAAGTGATGACGATATTCGTCGACACCGACACCCTGGGTTGAGGCTTGACTGGGTTCACGGTGTTGACGTTTTCTTCGACGCGGGTTTCGACGCGTTGTTTCACGACCGGATTAGGCGCCTGTTTCTTGGGCTTCACTGGTTCCAAATCGAACCCGGAAAACAATCCTGGAAGAAAAATTGGAATTTCAGCGAATGACTCCTCATGTATTCGTTTATCAAAATCGGATCAGCTGAATTTCTTCGTTCTGCTCAATTTCTGAAAACCGTGATTCAAGCCTTTCGATGGAATTGAAAAAGTATTTGAAGGTCGTGGATGAAGGTGAGTTTGTCATGATGCATTTTTTGGTGAATCACCAGCGTCATTATTTATTGCCTACGGAAATTATATCCTTCAGTTTCAATTTATCCCATCACGGACGTTTTGTAGTTATTGTGATGGGGAAAAATGCAAATAAAAAGGAGTACGTAGAACAGTATACTTTTTTATTTGTACAGCAGTGTTTCTTTTTGTGAAGCAGTGGACCAACTTATGGGTTCCCGAAGCAATCAATCTTCAATCCCGTTCTTGAAAATATCAGGCCTTTGCAAGAAATTGACATTATTACTGTGAATTCCGGGAATTCGATAAATGAAGATGAGGATGGAGGATTCTTTTATTGGCAGGTTCTTGCCTTTTTTTTTTATACGCGAAAACTAAAAAAAAAGTAAGGTATACCACTATGTTCTCGTAAACGTTCGTTGAACTGCTACATCTGTGTATCTCGACTCGTTCTAGAACTATTAACTTGTACACGTGGAAGAAAGAGTTCTTAAACGACTTTCGGATAATGTTTTTGTATTTTACTTGCATTAAAAGTTTCAGGACTTCAGAAACTAAAATGGCAGCAGATTTATTGTATTTCCCTAAAGCTGAAGAAACGACTGGAAATCTTTAAAACTGATTGGTTTTTTATTGCTCGTCTGTTGAATTCTTCAGTGCTATATTTCACGTAAGTATATATATAAGAAACGTATGTTACGAATAATATTTACGGCAGCCCACAAATTGAATTGAAGAATAACAGTCTCTATAGTGAATCCAACTGTACTGAGTTCTCGCCTATATTCTGTGTTGCTGGGATGTATAAAAAAAGACCAGTCCAGAAGACTTATAAAGTCGGATTATCTCTTCAACAAGCTTGTCTACAACAATTTTCTCTGTACAAGGATATTTTTTGGTTGGAAAGGGTTCCGTCCCCATCTCATAGAGGTTTTATAAAACGGAACTCTAGCTCTCTACAACGATTTTTCTGGCCCCTTGAATTCAGTTGTGGAAAGAGTCCATCTTTACATTGATACTGTACAATAGAATCTCTTTACAACGAACCTCTTCATACTGAATTAATGCTTACAACTGATTTTAATTTTGCCCCTCTCATACAGTCGCAATGTCATTTTAATTTCGCTTCAACAAATTTTCGTTTATAACAAAAGCTTTTTCAAAGGTCAAGAACGCGTCGTTATTACGAGATCCTACAGGACCTCTTCAATACAAAAATACAACGGACTGCCTTAATTTAAAATTGAAATTACACGAGGATTTTCATCCAAAAGATTCTATTCAATTTCTGAGTTTTAATACAATTAGTTCAAATCAGCTTCCTCACCTTCAAGTCCCACAGTTCTCATTTCGTCAAACAAATTCTTGACGTCGATTTTCGACGGCGTCGGGAGAACTTCCGACACAATCTCTTCTTCCTCTGGTTCTTCTTCCCTGAGTCATTGTCATCAGTTTTTAGGCTATCCTGAAAGTTTCAGCTTGCTAGCTAGTCTGGAAGTGAGTGAAATTTGAGTTTCAAAATTTGATCTGGACAAACAGACAGACAGACAAGAAAAGTGAGTTCATAAAAACGTGGTAAAATCCGTTCAGCTGAAATTCTTCGTTCTGCTCAATTTCTGAAAACCGTGATTCAAATCTTTCGATGGAATTGAAAAAGTATTTGAAGGTCGTGGATGAAGGTGAGTTTGTCATGATGCATTTTTTTGTGTGAATCACCAGCGTCATTATTTATCGCCTACGGAAATTATATCCTTCAGTTTCAATTTATCCCACCACGAACGTGTTGTTGTTAGTAAAACTGAAAATAAAAAAGTGTATGTGGTACAGTATACTTTTTTATTTGTTGCATTGTTCCTTTTTGTGAAGCAGTGGAATATTATGGGTTCCCGAAGCAATCAATCTTCAATCTCGTTCTTGCAAAAATCAGGCCTTTGCAAGAAATTGACAATATTACTGTGAATTCAGGAAATTCGATAAATGAAGATGAGGATGGAGGATTCTTTGGCAGTCGCTTGCCATTTTCATACGCGAAAAATAAAAATAAATTATACCAGCATGTTCTTGTAAGCGTTCGTTGAACTGTTACATCTGTGTATGTCGACTCGTTCTAGAGCTATTTACTTGTACACGTAAAAAAAAGTTTCCTGAGACGACTTTCGGATTACTTTTATATTCTACTGTACTCTTGCATTAAAAAGTTTCATGACTTCAGAAACTGAAATGGCCGCAGATTTTTTGTATTTCCCTAAAACTGAAGAAACGACTGGGAATCTTTTAAACTGATTGGTTCTTTTGTTCCTAGTCTGTTTAATTCTTCAGTGCTATATTCCACCTAAGTATAGATATGAAATGTCTGTCACGAATAGTATTAACGGTAGCCTACAAAGTGAACTGAAGAAAAATATTTTGTGTTACTGGAATGTATGAAAAAGGGCTTCCAAAGTCCAAAAGACTTATAAAGCTGGATTTCCTCTTCAACACGTGTGTCTACAACAATTTTCTCTGCCCAACAATATTTTTCGGTCCGATAGGGTTCTGTCCCCTTCTCAAAGAAGTTTTATGAAACGAAACTCTCTACAACGATTTTTCAGGCCCCTTGAATTCAGTTGCGGAAAGAGTCCACCTATACATTTATGCAATATAATCTCTTTACAACGAATCTCTTTATACTGAATTAATGCTTACAACTGATTTTAATTTTGCCCCTCTCCTACAGTCGCAATGTCATTTTAATTTCGCTTCAACAAATTTTCGTTTATAACAAAAGCTTTTTCAAAGGTCAAAAACGCGTCGTTGTAACGAGATCATACTGGACCTCTTCAATAAAAAAATATAACGGGCTACCGTAATTTAAAATTGAAACGACACGAGAATTTTCATCCAAAAGATTCTATTCGATTTCTGAGTTTTAATACAATTAGTTCGAATCAGCTTCCTCACCTTCAAGTCCCACAGTTCTCATTTCGTCAAACAAATTCTTGACGTCGATTTTCGACGGCGTCGGGAGAACTTCCGACACAATCTCTTCTTCCTCTGGTTCTTCTTCCCTGAGTTGTGATGGCTCCAAAGCTGGGGTTATTGTTTCCGGCAAAGCAGCAATGACTTCGAAATAAGTCGAGGATTCCACATGGGCCTGAGTTTTGCTTGGTGCAATTCTGCTGCTGCTGCTGATGATGATGCTGCTGCTGCTAATACTGCTGCTGCTGCTCGTCAGTTCCGGAGTGCTCTCGTCTATTGAGAAAGGAACGTCGGAAAGAAAAAGAATTTTTAGCCCAGGCAAGAAACCACCCTTTCGCATAAAGGTTCAGAGCTGTGACCATTTTCCGCCTCGCATACAGCACATCCTGCTTCAGACAACGAACGAGGGAATTTTGGACCTCGAATGAAAGTTCGCAGTTCTTTTTTAAAGGTTTGTGTGTCGAACAGTAAACCTTAAAATAATTGAGAAACAGCGAATTGTAATGTTAGAAATATACCGGTACAATTCAACGGGGGACATTCTAGTCCATTTTTGGAGATTTTTTTCTGTGCTCTTCCGCGGTTGTTCAACATTTCATTTACAGTACAAGGGTTTTGACAAAAGTTCATGAAATAATTCAAAAGATGTCAAAATTTCGAATCAAAAGTAGCACTTTATTCGAAATTTCTCTCTTCCAGCACAAGACGACATTTTTCAGGTCTGTTCAATAATTTGTTTCTGACATCTTTTGAATTCTTGCATGAACTTTTGTCAAGACCCTCGTATTTTGGACCTGGAATAAAAATTCCAACCTTTTTACAACGTTTGTATATCGATTGGTCAACATTAAAATGAATTCATGCATCAAATATTACTTGTCAGGAAGATAATTTCCAACGGGATATACGAGTATGTTGGTACGTTTTCGTAGATTATTTTTATTTTTCTTTTCCGGCTTATGAACGGTTCATAGGTAGGGTATATATGCCCGTATTTACTCTCAAAATTGAGAGGAATAAGTGGGGTGTGGGTCATGAGCAGGTAAGACTTTTTTAAAAGTTTTTTAAGTTCAGATGCGCATTATATTTGATTTTAATGGGAAATTTCGGATCAATTTTACCAGAAAACCTTCTCGTATACTGTATTAACTAATTAGGGGAATTCAGGATCAATTCATGCCTCAATTCAAATTTTGGTGTGATTATCTTTCAAATACAGTATTGCAGTTTGAGTCAACTATAGAAATGGGGTTTGCGTCTTACTTGGGAATACAAATTTGTCATAATGCTCGACTGAAAAACCCTGCTGTAAGTATTACTCAAAGACGCGTGGTACTCAAGTAAATACGGTAATAGAACTATCATTAAGACATTAATTTCTCGAAGGTATGTGAAGATCAGCAATTTATCACCATGGTCTGTCGCAACAGCTGCCCTCCTGCTGGACCGGATCTTTATAAGACAGTTAAGCAAAGCACCATTTTACCAACTTTAATATTCTCATCCAAGAGCTCACATGAAAGCAGTTTATCAGCTGAATTTCCTTCGACAGCGACGAGAAACCGAGAATGAAAGCAATGCATGTGATGAAATATTCTTTGGGTCTTGCGCACTTTCATCTCACCATTACTCATGCTGCGAATGTTCTACAGTCGATAGGCTGCTCTAAAGCAGCAAATACTCCGTGCAATAANGAAGGTATGTGAAGATCAGCAATTTATCACCATGGTCTGTCGCAACAGCTGCCCTCCTGCTGGACCGGATCTTTATAAGACAGTTAAGCAAAGCACCATTTTACCAACTTTAATATTCTCATCCAAGAGCTCACATTAAAGCAGTTTATCAGCTGAATTTCCTTCGACAGCGACGAGAAACCGAGAATGAAAGCAATGCATGTGATGAAATATTCTTTGGGTCTTGCGCACTTTCATCTCACCATTACTCATGCTGCGAATGTTCTACAGTCGATAGGCTGCTCTAAAGCAGCAAATACTCCGTGCAATAATGCAAAGTGACCAGGTCTATACGTTTCTTCATGGAGAATTTTAAAGTCATTCCGGCTTCGACGTGCATTGGATTCTCAAGCTGGGTACGAACTGTGAAATCCAGAAAGTGGCCCGGGCGAATGAGTATCAATAAAAATGCACTTTCCTGAAATTGATCTCGTGTTATCTCCGCAGAGCTTTTGAAACCTGTCTCCTGGGACGGTCTGTGAATATTCATAAGTGTAGGATTTCGGTTTTCAAACGTTTTCTTATTGTGCAGATTACAGAATAGCATTTTTTTTTATCAGTTCATGTTGCAAGGCTCTTCTCTCGATTTATTGTCCAGGGCAGAACATCTGAAATCCACCCGCGCTGTAATATTCGACTTCGGGAGTTTTATAATTTATTAGAGCCAGTACTTTGAGAGATTAACATAGTATTCTTTGTTTGTTTTTCTCAGGTCTCACTTTATGAATCCCTTGCCGTGCATCTGAAATTTGGGTGCAACTCACACCACCATAAGAAATATACCATAGATTTTAAGGAAATTCGAATGAAAATGCCTTAAAATCCATCTTGCATTCATTCATGGGGCACCGCAAAATTTTCTAGACGACATTCATTGGGGATGTGCGTGATGCAGAAAGTCAGCAGATTACATTAAACACTTGAGATATAGTGGCTGAGAATATATCAACTGTTCGTTAATAAATGTGCATGTAAAATTTGGATTCACTGAGAGGAAACAAAATCAGCTCATGTACCACACCCTCTATGTAATTCCAGCTGCTAAATTTTTATATGATCAGCTTCTTATCTGGGTTCAGATTTTTCAAGATTTTTAAAAATACTGTAGTTTTGACGGTACGTATCTTGGCACAAAATCGCATCAAAGCGTGATGACTGCACTCCTTCAATTTGCAATAATGCCATAATGCAATAAGTTAAGTGATTGAGCAGCTAATGGAGCAATTGTATCCTTGTTTTGAAATTGGGAATCCAATCAACTCCTTTCTTCAACAAGTTCAGCTCAAAGTGTCCCAATTTAAACTTCCTACAGTAATTACATGAACATTTTCCCCCACAAAATTGCTAATTTCTCTCGGAAATTTTTTTTTTGCTGGTCCCTCGGAGTTCATCTTACAGAGATTCGACTGCATTGAGAAATTTTTTTCTTTTAGTTTACAGTATTTTGAAAGAATTGCCCATTGGCAAGTGTTTTGGTAGTGAAGTTTATTTAATAAGACAGCAATCATCAACCAATGTGCGCATTGTTTCCCAAGTACTTTTGCAAACGTGACTGTTGTTGATTGAAAAATACGCAAACAAGTGGACTCTCTCTACAACGAAACTCAGGGGACCAGAACAAATTTTCGTTGTAGAGAGAATTTGTTGTAGTGAATCCCTGTAACATGGAGAAAGTAACCTAGTCCTATGGGACCACAATAAATTGTTCTCAGAGAAAATCACTGTAGACAAGATCATTTTAGAGAGAGAAAGATATTCCACCTGCATATAGTTGGAATCTCTACAAAATAATCCAAAAGACCCATAAAAAGTCGTTGTACAGAGAAATTCATTGCAAAGAACCCTTATAATATGGGAATAGAATCCAATGGAACAAAAAACATCTTTTATAGAGACAAATCGTTGTAGACAAGACATTTGAAGATTCCACATGTAGATGCGCTGTTTATGTATGCATCTGTCGTAAGAGGTTTGTCATTTTCACTTCAACTGAGGCTGCAATAAAGGAACACAATTTATCTTGAAACTGTTGATGTGGCTGTGTGTTCAACTTCTTAACAGAGCTCAAATAAACAACTTTTTCAGCTAGACAAGATAGAAATACAATGCATAATGGGTCTTTAAAAGTATGTGTTTTTAATGACAAGTTTCATATGTATAATGAACAACTTGATCCAAGGATGTATGCCACGTGTTCTTCTCTGTAGAAGGAAATGTGCAAATTTTTGATTATCTGTGATATATATCGTATCTTCTTTAGCAAAAGGCAGATCCACAGACTCAAGTAGTCATTTTTCTAATGGGTATTTTTCATGCAGTTGAATTTATTCATTTTTGTTCGCCTTGAAGCAAGTCCCCAAGAAGATCAGGCGAAACTTTCAATATCCGTCGCTGCTGATGCCGTAGCTCAACTTTTCGATCCCCTCATCCCATCAAAAATGTGCATTCGAAAAAGTCTTGAAAGGCTATTTCCTCCGTCCGGCAGCAGTTTATATTGCGCATCAGGAAATCGGGGAGCTGGCGAATTACAAGATTTATAACACATGCCGGGTTCAGTTCCGCGGGAATTGCCTATTAAAAGACCCGCTCCGAGACAGTCGGAAGCCTTCCGGGGAAGCCGAAGGTGGCAAAAACGTGTTCCCTTACTTCCGTTGCTGCTGCTGAGAGGCTATAGTGATGAATTGCCTACGCCTCGTGCATGCAATGATGATGATATTCCCCAGTCAGTCGGCGATTAAAGGAAAAAGGTGCGCTTCTCTCGAACTCATTGTTGCCGGTTTCCAGTTGCGCAATCGACAAAGCAGACTCGTTTTTATGGACGAAGCTTTCAGCATAAAAATGCCTGAGAGTTGTTTTTTTTTTTGCGTTCATTTCGTCGGGCGTATGCGAGGAAATCATGCTAAAAATTGAGTTTGCGAAAGGCGTCCATCCATCATGGAAGTTATCAAAAGTTGCCCAGGCGGGATATTAATTGAACACGCGTTCGGAATATACGGTACATATATATAGGAGCTTTCATCAATTTTGAAAATACAGGCATTTCCCAGTAAATCTTGCAGAAATGAAATACAGTCAACCCCTGCGCCAGAGATTTTTGCGGAACAGACCACCTCTGGAGGCAGTTGTTCCTCTCACATAACAGACATTAAATCCGCATAACAGGCCTCAGTCTCTGTAGAAGTATGCTCCACCAGTGGAGTCCCGCAGGTCCTCCCTTGCCTTCCGAATCAATTTGAATATAAAATATTATCAGGTATGAATGTAGTTTTTTACTTCTTTTGGTTGTAATCTTGCTTGTTTTCCAACCTTTAAACATATAGGAAAGTTTAATTTGCATAACAGACTCTTCACGCAAGAGACGACTTACGAGTACCAAGATTTACGTGTCAAAGATTGGAAAAATGGGCCCGGAAACCCTTGGCAATTTTTTGATTCTATTGCTGCTAATTAGAGTTGCATTGACTTGTCATTAAAAATTATGCGTAGAGCGTAATTAAGCCTGCCGTACGATTTCACAGCCGAATAAGTGGGTGAATTATC